GAAATATTTTGGAAAACCTACTTTTGTTGCAAATTTGTTTTCTAAATAAATTTGTTTAGAAAGTCTAGTCCAGTTTTCTAAATAATAAAATTTATGATTCTTCCTTTGTGATGAAAGCTTTACATTTTTTTAATGTATATTAACCAGGTTGGAGGAGGTGGAATTGTTAGAGATCCTCAGGTGCATCAGGAAGTATGTGCTTATTCTTATTGATAAAACTAAAACCATTTGTGAGACCTAATTGTTATTTACTTTGTGTGTGCCTTTTTGCTACTAACTCCATCTACACATGATTAATGTCATACTTTTGCATTCAAATGTCCCTTTACCTCATTTCTTTCAAATTCATGGCATGTGGACCTACCTATGCACAAGGGAAGCTACAAAAGACACTAGTTCTCCACCTTGTTGGTTTTCGGTCATTGCATGCTGAGGTCATGAATAATGCCTGATTGGATGGCTGCTTTGGTTCACTGCTTAATTTTCAGAATAAGAAAGTTCTAAAATTTTTAATGTCCAGAAATGCTTAAGTGTAGATGACTGATCTTGGCATCAAGGTAAGGTTGCTCCTCCCTTGTAATCTGGATGATCAGAAATGATCTTTATGTTTGCAGGATGATCTCTGGATCCCGTATTCATGAGAACCTTGTGCACTGGGCTGTCCTTGTAGAAATAAGTAACCATTTGTCTATGCTAGATGCTTGCATGTAGCAATGTGTTCTGCATACAGATTCTGCATCTGCTGGAATGCAAATTACAGAACATAACAGTGGTGATGACCGACCAGAGTATAGATCATCTCCCAGTTCCATTAATAATCATTTCTAGTGTTCAGTAGGACACTCACTCTTCTAATTCTATGGAGCCTGTATCTTTCTCTTTATTTTGTAGTTTGAAAGTATACTATGCTATTTGAAAGGACTTGAGACATGAAGCATAAGGAAGACAGCAAAGGAGAAAGCTGTTGGGTTAAGGGGAAGGCACTAATCTTGCTATTGAAAATTCAGGAACACCTTAAACCATTGTTATGTTTTGCCAGAAATTGCCTGGCTGTTGAATCAAGTTTGTTCATGCCAGTTACCATTCTAGTTCCCTTTGCAATTTCTTCACATCCATGTTAAGAGTACCGCATGAATGCAGAAATAAAGTGTCCAGATTTAAAATTGCCATAACCTTGGCTAACTTTATCTTTATTTGACAAGTATAAAGAGTCCCATGCTTGTGTCTCTAATCTTCTATTTTTTTGACTGCAGGTTCTTGAAAAAATAATCAAAGGTGTCGAAGGTTATGGATTCTGTAGCAAAGGGTGGATAGAGTCACCGATAAAGGGTGCTGAGGGCAACACAGAGTTCCTAGTTCACTTTCAGCGAATTCCAGCAGACTCCATGTGATATTCTTTGTTGTTAAGTTCATTTTTTTCGTCTCTTGAGCTCTTTGAATTATGTTGTAGAACACTACTTGGAGGGAGGGAACAAGAACAGCGCTAATGAGGGGGATTCTTACTGTTGTATAACTTTGCAAGTAAATGATTGCAGACTTGATCTATTTTTTCAGGTTCATCTCATGAACTGAACTGGGGCCATGTTGTTAGCAGTCTGATCATCCAACGAAAATATTCTTCTACCTTATCTTTGTAGTAGATGAGGCTACCAACTTAACATAGGCATAGTGGGTTTAGATAATGACCTTGTTAATTGAATTGCAGAAGTTGCTGAGAGACAATTCTGGTGCATCTGTCTTTTTTAGACACTGAAGTTTAATCAAATGCCATGGTATATATTAGCATCTTTTCTGACCAAAAGTAAAAGAAAATGGAAATTCCAATTTGGAAACATAAGAGGAGTTGACTTCCTTTTAACTCATGTTCAACCCTGGCCTTTGTTGTCCATGAACAAGATGTTCACTTCCACAAGGAGAAATGGAAAGAATGGCTCTTGCCGAAAAGTTTGATGAATTTTATTTTTCTTTTGCAGTCTCCAACTTCTCTAGGTGTATCCATGAATATGAAAGTTTCCTAAGAATTTTATTCATATGCTTTTTTATTTTATTTATTTTTGTTTGGCTATTTCCAAATGTATCTGTGATTACCTAATTATTTGACTTGCTATGATTTGTTTTCAATATTGGCTGCACCTTTAACTTTGAAACTTAAGCTGGTTCAATGAATTATGGGGCAAAAGGAGAATCATATCCCATTTGGGATGACAAAATAGTAGACCAGATCTGTTTCATAGATGTTTTTGACTTGAGTCAAGTCTCATATTTTTTAGCTGTTTAATCTTGAAGAGTTGCAATGTCAAACATGATTTGTTTGGGGACTTGTCTCACATGAGTTGCAATGTAAGACAAGATAGTCAGACCAGATTTGTTTCTTAGAGTACCACCTTGGAAAGGATAACACTTGTCGAACAAAGAACAAAACACCATATTCTAGCCAAGTATTTGACTTGGCAAGGATATCCTGTTTTTGTCTTAATTCAAATCTCATGTTTTTTAGCTGTTTAATCTTGAAGAGTTGCAATGTAAAACATGATTTGTTTAGGGACTTGTCTCACATGGTGTGACAATGAACAAATAGAAGTGCAAGACCCAATCAAGTGTGCCATGTAATGAACCTTTAGTGGGTATTCTAATAAGTTATATTCATGTCTAGTTTTATCCCTGAATGTTATACTTAAGTAATAAAGATAGGAAATCCAGATGGAATAAGACTCATCTATTTTGTTTCATATTGTGTGAAACATTTTTTTTTCTTGCAGCATTAGCTTGCCCAAGTAATTGTGGGAATGCCATATATTATCACAGTAAGGTTAATCTACTATGGCTAAGATATAGGAACTGGAAAATTTGAGAATATATACATTGCATAAAGCTTCAAGATTAAATGTTTTGTGAATATGCTAAATCTTTTCACAGTATATGATACCAAAGAGTATTTATAGTATTGCAATACCTCACAATTGCCTTTAATATTAAGTAGTAGATAACTTGTATACATTTTTTAGGGAGAAGGAAACAAAGGACCAATGCAGAGAGCAAGGAAACCAAGTTGGTATACAGATGAGTGCATTATGATATGATAACACAGGGTGGTGCAAATTGGTATAGTGAAGCTGAGGTTTCTGAGTGCTGAAACAATCCAGGCTGCAGCAGCTCCTGCACCTTTCCAGCTAAACAGACACATCTCCTGTACTTGTTTATATTCATTTTTATTGGCCTCGAGATGCCAACTGCCATGGACAACTTAGTATGGAGAAAAGAATTAGCATTGTGATATGATGTGAGGCATTATGAGGTTAAGGTTATATATATATATATATATATATATATATATATATATATATATATATATATATATATATATCAGAACTATTGGTGGATCCCATAACAATGTCTGAGGCATTAAAATTATCAATGAAATATAAAATACGTGACAACACACTGACACAAAGATATATATATATATATATCTTACATAGTTAACGTTTTTAGTATTTAGGTTTCTAGATTTTAAAATTTATATTAAAATAAAATTATATATTAATTTTTTTA